TCTACCTAGTCTAATCTAGCATTTGAGGGCGGTGAATTAATTTGTGATTAACCTACCGCATAATTTGCTTACCTCGCCGTTGCCATCCGATATGCATAAGGTAGTTACAAATGTTGGGCTCCCGTTCTCTGTCCCGTTCAAAATTAGGAATCTAGGATTAGGTAGTCTCGAATGGGCTGTAATTCGTTTGGATCTCGGGGCACCAGAACCAGTGCGGAAAGGTACGGAATTAGACGAGGGACGCAGGCACGCAAAGGAGTGATTTTAAATTTCATCCAAGTTCTAACCCAACCTAGGTAGTTGCCTTTCCGCCACACTTTGTTTGGGAAGAGTCCCAGTTCTGGAAAATGTGAGTAAGGTATGAAGGAGATAATTGCAGAAGCTAAATAAGCTTTAACAGTTCTCTTATTCAACACATCAGTCATCTGTCGCCATACTACTGCCCTTGGGCGCTCGGTACTTCTCAATTTTATGATCAGTTGTTTACCTACTCGTACTCGTAAGGTTAGCGAGAAGAGGGGGGAAGCTGATTGTGCATCTAAGTACTTAGTAATATGTAAGTATCTGGCACAGGGGTCCCTGGGGGTCTGGTCTCTTTTTTCTCTGTCGGAATCTGAACAGCATACCGCTGTAAGTTAGCGGGATTTACATAGTATACCGTCAGCTGCACCATGGATCGTTCTCCGCGAATCATGTCGTACTACAACCGAGCTCAGATGTGAACCGCTTCCCGTGCCCCGCAACAAGTCGGGAACGTCGCAGGGCGATCAATGCGCGCGTGGTCCGCACCCTCGTCGACCTCATCGCCAAGAGTGTGTCTCGATGATACCTATCGTACTCGCAGGGTAGGCAAGGTACTCGTCACTCGTATCATCTTGAACCCCTCCACTGGTAGACTACCTGGCCCATCCATAAAGCTTCTTTTTCTTCCGTCCACCTCGAACCTGCTTTTCTTGGCATTTGAAACCATTTGTCACTTGCCGTCGGTTCTATCTAGGGTTAGATCTCTTCCCTAGGCTAGCTAGCCACTTGGCAAAGCTTGTTGCTCGTGGAGGACAGGCCTTGGCATCGAGTCAAGAACACCTTTTTAACGTCCGTCTTGGCTTCTTCTTGTCTTTACGACATCGGTAACCTAGTTAAAAGCTACGACGTTCCCATCGTGTATGCTAAATGGAAAATTGTCCGATCTACGTGTGGAAAATGCCGTAAGGTGGTATCGCAAGTGGTCCTGTCGCATCTATGCTAGTCGCCGGGTCAATTCGTATTCCAGGTTTCCTGCAGTTTTATATATAGGCCCGTACACGGATCTCCTATCGCTCCAATTCTTGATGCTACTAATCTAACCTACCTAGTAGGTAGGTGGACAGACGGAAACCCATTATGACTCCAGAATATCGACCGAGGATTCTCAACTGAACACATGTCAAAGTATAGAATTGACGAAGCACTGGGGGCGGCATAACGTGCTGCCTATTATGACTTGCTTCAGACGGACCAACGCAATGGACCCAGCTCGGCCAAGATGCTCTTCAGAAATATGACCCAGTTGAACCTCAAGGGGTCTCCGTTACGGTTGAAACCCATACATAACCCCACTTCACGGATATAGAGGAGGCTTTTCCGTGTGGTCTTTCGTCTCCGTCGTGATATTCACCATGACGATTGACGTGGTTACATACGTAGCGTCAAATCATCTACACTACTGATTAGTACTGATAGCCTTTCTCGGGAGGGCGGAAGCAGTCCTTCAGATTCATGCACGCCGTAGATCCCATCGATACCCACCAAGGTCAATTATCATTCCCCAGAACGTAAACTAAATAGATGCTTGTGGGAACATACCATAGACTAAACCTTGTTATAACTCGATCCGATTCAGCGGGGCGATTCACATCACTTTTGTGCCCATATTTCAGCATCTTCGCACCAGATTCCCCCATCTGTTAGGAGACAAGCACACGATGCGGTTGGCGGTCAATACCTGGATATAGGAGGTAATTGTAGGTATCAGGACAATGTTACCACTTTGATAACGCTGGGTGACTCATAGGTATACTTTGCCTTGAGTATCCCGGTCAGTCTAGCTTTTGTACCGGCCCGGCATTCGCATCTTAAAAGGGTCCTGCAAGAAAAGGAGAAACTAGAGGTAGGCACGGTTCATGAAACTTTAACCCAGGACTCGCAGCGAGAGATGATCATGTCCGATCCCCTCACAATTCTCCGAGGAGAAAGAGGCAAGACCTCGGAGTAACACCTCGGCGGGGGTGCCTATTCTAACACGCAGCAAATAAAAACAAGGGTACCGGATTTATGGGCATTTTTGGAGATTCCATAGCAGTCTTTCCCTGATGCTCCGGCGGTGTCCAAATAAAACACTCGGTTGGCTATTATCTTGCAAAAAGCCTTGGATCAGCAGGTAATGATAGATATGCCTTGCGACCTACCGCAGAGCCTCTCTCGGTAGTCTGGTTCGTCCTTCTCTATGAATATATATATGCCTTTGTTCTATTGACGACTCTTGGCCCTTTAGAAGAGGCGTTTTGCGTATGATATAGAACCTAGTTTGTTGCCGGCGGGACAATGCACCCTGATAAGTCCCCTTTCTCATTGTTAGGTCTATAGACACGCTCATTGACGACTTCATCCTGAGTACTTTCTTCCTAATATATAGAGATACCGTCACCTTCACTCGTAAACGCCGAAAGTTACCTCCCATCTAGGTACTGGCACTAATATCTCATCTAGTCCGTCTGTTATCCTCTCTAATTCTTGTGTGACGCTCTTAGGCCGGCCTGAGAATGCATCGTAGGGAAGACATGACATTCCCCTTTGCCTGTCACTAGCGGCCAATAACTCCAAGTAGCTACAACAGCGTAGGTGACTGGTCTAAGATGCCATATTACAGGATCATGCGAGCCAGCTGAATAACCTTAGGAACTGTACCTGGGTGGCCGGTTACAATTTTTTCTTTGTTTTGGATTCGGACATACGGTGCATACCTACACCGGTTGACGGTCATAACCGATTATTCGGTAGGTAGGCATGTTCCCCGGCTGAGAGTGTTCTTCTATTCTCGGAAAAGATAAGTATACCTATCTCTTTCTACTGAGCGCCTACGTAACTGTTCTTTCTACAAACACCATTTATGCATTACCGACTCGTATCTATCTGCCTAGGACCTAGGTTAGTAAGAAGTTGCTTCGAAGCCCCCTATTCTATCTTGCTATATAGAAGTTAATATCTAAGTACGTTAAGTAGCTAGGTAATGTCCCATCAGTGCCCTATGACATTGCACCGGGATAAATTTTATGGTCTTCCGGATAGAAATCCTTAGGGACCAGGAGCGTCGTCTGGATACCACGTGAAGGCAGATGAAAAGGGAGTTCAACTTTCCAAAACCAGCCAAAGTGGCTATTTCAACGTACCTATACATAAATTACAAATCTCCCAAAATAAATATGTAGGTACACACGCGTCTACGAAAATAATGAGACCCTAGACTACCCACACAGCTGACACAAGCATCTCCCAAAGCGACGAGGACCTCTTCCACCCCAAAATTATACCGCTTCCTTCCTTTATGTACCTAAATAAGGTATAATATACCTAGTCCATCACAAGATAGACATGGACATGACATACCTAGCTAGTCAGTATGCCCTAGTCCGGGGTGCTAGGCCTAGAACATGGCCATACCACGTTGCGCGGTCTAGACCGGGCAGTTAACCGAAGGCCACTAGTCTACCAGCTCTATCTAGGGTAGCTACCTATGTTAACCGGGGGTGGTGAGGTATAAACTTGATTTTTTTGCCCTTGGCTTGCCACGAGGGTATAGATATATCCCTATTTCTTTGAGCCGTTCCGTGCCATTAGAGATGGAGGTATACCAGCGCCGTGGCAAAAGACATATGTTAGGGAGAAGGGAAACCAGACGGAGGATCATATTTTCTAATGATAATCCGGACCGGCAGTTTTTCTACGACCGTAAGTACTGCGCTATATGCGATGCGATGCGATGCGATGCGATGCGATGCGATGGGTGCGGTTTATTGTTTGCGATTGTGATATAAGCGCAGTTGCTGATAAGTTTGTTTTTCATCCTGCGTATATAAAGGAGAGAGTCGGGGTAAACTCCCGCGTCCCAACCGCACCTTTCAAGACAGGAGATGGTTATATATATACCCGACGGGGACGATAGGAAATCCAAGGAGTCGGCGTAGGTAGGTACAGTAAGGTAGACGCAAGCATTCGTTAGAAATGACGACGAGTACAGCTATCCCAACTCTATGTATCTTATGAAGATATTTGTAATAAAGCATTTATACACGCTCAAATGACTTGGAATATCTATCTACAATATACCCCCCCCTTTATGTCCGTCTACTACATTTGCCTGTTCTGATCACCCTGCTTACGAGTACTTTTTTAGGGCTTACTTAGACCGAACAAACTAAACATATGCTATCACGCCTCCCCTTGGCGATACATAGTCTTCTCTCTATCTATGCGTGCATGCCATTTGTATTTACTTATAGGCGCTGCCTTTTCTTTATAGTATCTTTTAAACTAGGTAAGTAAAAATGGAAGAAATCCTGCATCTATGCACGAGCTGATCAGAACTTCTTTGCATAGTAAAAAAGAACTGTAGAGAAACACGTACCTACAAGATATCAGATTATCATCAGTAACTGTAATATAAAAGTGGCCTATTTTTGTAAACATAAGCATAAAATCAATCAATAAGCTTACTAACCTTTCTTAACACCTTGAATCGATCTCAAATTATATATATATAGCCTTAACTAAACTATCTTCTTTACATTTTCTCCCCCTATAAAAAGAACAAGAAAAGAGAGAAAAAACCGAACCCTAGCGTATCTATAAAACCCACAATTCAACCTCGAGACTCCAACAAAAAGCGGCCCGCTTGGCTCACCGGTAGAGCGCCTCACTAGTAATGAGGAGGCAACTGGTTCGACTCCAGTAGTGGGCAAAAAAATTCCGAATTGGTGTAGTGGCTAACATTTGACGCTCTCATGATACTCATCAGAATATTCGATTCTTCATGTGGTGTGCCGTCAAGCCCGGGGTTCGATTCCCCGATTCGGAGTCTCTCCTTTTTTCTTCTTCTTTTTCCTTCTTGCGCTTTTTGTTACAATACTCCAAAGGTTGGCCCTAGCTAGGCATGTATGTAGGAACAAGAATAAAAGTAAAAGTGCATCCGTCGTCGATGGTGTCTTTTTTCTGCTCCTATTCTGTCTTCTGTGTTCCGACACTGATGACCTAGTAGGTTGATAGTTATTCCCTCAAGTGTCTCTTTAGGGACGAGACAGACGGTGGCATGGTTACTGAACATCCCCCTTAAGAGGTACTGTTCCCAGGGAACTGGAAATATAAGGGAAAAAGTCGAATGCTGGCTTGATACTTGGAAGAAGTTGTAGGGCTAGGTCTAGCATAAGACATTTCTTCCAATGGAATGCAGTCGTATCTCTTTGCGCCAGCGACAAAAACAAGTCAAAAATATGAAGGCGAAGACTAGATTAAAGATATAATGTAGATAGATAGGAGGTTATGAGGTCTACGCGCCATGCACCAATTTACGTCAAGCTTCAAGGACGCTCCCTCAAAGTCCCATTTCACTCGTAGTTAACTATACCACCGTGGGCAGGTACCGGTACCAAGCGAAACCCAACAAAACCCAAAACCGCGACCCCTTATTCTGTCTGGAAACACAAGACCTTCATCCGCTGCAGCCTCTGTGTCACGAACGGTTGTTTACGTGCGGATTATGTGCACGTCGCGGTTCATGCCCCTCCTTTGCAACATCAGCTGTAAGAATAGTGCTTTCCCCGTTACAAAAATGCAAGATGGTCGTGATGCCTAGCACATGACCCCTCTCACAACCGCTACGAGTAGGTACCGATTCGTCCCGACTCCCGGCCAACGGAGACGTAGAATAGGGTAGAGTGATTTCAAACTCATATCCTTGGTTGAGTGGAGTGGTGGGTGTCGGCAGTGAGTAAGGAGCCGCAAATGCGGACTCGTCTCCGCGTGATGGTGAGGCCCTCGACGGCACCATGTCGTCTTCAGACAACTTTTCAGTAGCAAGAGTCTCTCTTTGGGGTAATGCCGAGTCTCTTCCGAAAGGATCCGGCTGAGGGAAATAGGGAAAACGAGCGGGCTTGGTAGCACTGGGGCCTCGTTGTTGAATACTTGCTTGCCTGTCCTCCGCCTTCCATTTTGTTACCGTAATTGGCGGTGGCCACTCGTTCCGGTCGTTCGAGACGTTCTGACGATGTGCTTTGCTGGTTGGTGAGGCCGCATCGGTATGGATCTGGGTCTTGGGTGACTCGAACATCTCACGTCGATTCGACACCATGACAGAACTGCCCGGAGTATTTTCTCCCTAAGAGTTACACTGGCCTTCGTTTGGGGATCGCGCGCCATGCTGAATTACGTGGTGTAAGAGACGGGTCGCATCAGCTGCTCCTTTGGTTGGCGTCTTCAGCCATGGGGGTGGGCTGGTCAACCGGCGTTTAGGAGTTTTAGGTTCATGTGAAACGGAGCTGGATCTGCTCTTTCTCCCCTTCTTTCTCCCTGTGTCTACCGGTGCTTGCGCCCCATTCTGACCCCATATGGATTGAACATCATGAGACTGGTGGTCTGTTAAGACACTGCCCCCCGATAAACCTGAACGCTCCCCGGTAGATGAAGGGTCTGCCTGATGTGGATGCGCATGGGGAGTATCACCTCTCGTCAATTGAAAAGAAGCGAGTCGTGAGACCGGCCGTGCTATTGTGAATGGATTTATCCCGGCCTTGGAAGGGGCCGAGTTTGTTTTGTTGTTGTTACGTGGCCTCGTGGGGAGAGGTCCTTTTTGCTCAACTGCCGGGGACAGCTGCTCCACACTACGGTAACGACCAGAGGTATCACCACTTAGAGCAGATTGTGATTTCGCCCCTGAGAGAGGTATGTCCCCCAGATCTGAAAGCCAGCCAACAGGCCTGCTAATATTATGTTGGGCGAACATATCCTGAGCAGATAGCCACTTTTCAAGCTTTGTTGTCCTCTCTGGAGAAGATGATTCGAAACGTCGTAGGCGCTTTTCCACTAAGCTAGGCGGGCCCTGCAAAGCCTTCGCATCTTTGGTGCTCGAAGAAGAGAGATGCTGCCGGCCAGTTAGTCGGACCTCTGAATGACCAAATCTGCCGCATAGATGGCCTATAGAGTAACTCTTTCGACACGAAGGCTGCGACCACAACAGGGGGCTGACCCTGGATTCCTTGGTTGAGGAAGCGTGTCCTTTGTCGTTTTCACTCCGACCACAGCTGTGGGCTATGATCTGCTGATTTTCAGGAGGGCTCAGAAAGTCTGGAGTTTTCGGAAGGCTCCTCTCTAAAAACTGAGTGTTGCCATACTTGGACCCTCTTCTCTCCTCCAACTTTCTTTGCTGAAGACCTTGTTGAAATTGACGTAACCGAGCTGTAACGGCGCCAGTTGGGATTCCCAGATCACGTAAAGGGTGCTCTGCCATGCTGTTCGGTTCGTCCACGTCGTCACCAAGTCGTCGGACCAGGACATGTAGAGACAATAGGCCGTGTCGTTGGCCAGATATTCTCCGATACAGACAGACTCTCGTACTCAAGCTAGGAATCAGGGGTTAAAATATATCACTGATAACGAAATAAGTAGGGTGGAAACAGGGTAAATTAACAAGGAACTTGTTATATCGATGTGTAGAAAAGAGGTTTAAGGACTGAGCCCGCCTGAAGACGTCGGACATGAACGCTATACATAGAGGAAGGCGGATGCCATGTGAAGGAAGTTACTTCGATATATACGTCATAAGCAGGCACGTTGAATTCGAGGGAAACTACAGTATGTTCCAATGCTGATAATGCACATAATCTTCTCGGTTCGCTCATGGGATTTGTAGGGAATTATTCTGATGTACAAGTTGGCGTCAAGGTAGCATCTCTACACAGTTTATTTCAGAACGGCCTGCAGGCTCTCCAGCACCTGTATATCATCTGTTAGGAACACGGTATACCAAGGATGGGGGTTGTGGATGGCACTTACCTCCAGCTCGATCTTAGCCTCGGCAACATCCTGCTCACTGCCACTGCCGTTGGCGACCTTTTGCGCCTCAGCGATCTGGGACCTAACAGCTTCGGCGCTGAAGTCTTCTAGGGGGTATCCCTCGACAGCATTGATGCTTAGGACCGAGTTGGGCTGAACGGTCGCGAACCCGCCGGATACTAGTTCGAGGCTTTAGTGAATCGTCCCATGTTTCTCCCTTGTTTTCTTATCCGCACGTACGGAAAAACTGCTTGCTGGAGCCATTCTCCTCGATGACCTCGATAAGACCGGGCTTTAGTTGTTCAATGGAGGGTACGTGGCTCGCTAGGACACCCATATCTCCAGACTCGGCCGGGATGTTGACTTGGACAACATTTTCTGAGGTGTACATGGACTGATGCGGGAATTAGCAGGTATGATGACGAGCAAGCCGAAGTTGTCGGTAAGCGTTGGAAATTCGGGCTAAAAGTATCGTATGTTCTGTGTGCACATCGATTGTATCGAGAGACGTCGTACCTGATGAGGGAGAGACAAGCTTAGCTTGAGCTGCGTAGTGTTAGCAAAGCTACCTCCTAGCTCGGGCTTTGGGGAACACGAGCCTTGGGAGCAGCGTCAGCGTAGCTCCGTCGCTGCAGAGGCTGGATAGGGAGCCGCATAGCAGCGGGACGAGCCCGGAGGGCTGTTCTGGCGACGCGGACGGCGTTCATGATGACAGGCGTTGTCAATTGAAGAAATGCGTGACGAGCAAGGCTGACGATGGTCGACAACAGCAAATTGAGATTCAATGGCTTGAACGGACAGGATCTCGGATGATTGAGTGAACTAAACCCGATCAAGGATAGCGCTTGTCACGTGCGATACACGTGATATAGGCTTTGAAAGAACATTGAAGTTGGACCATGCCGGCCTGAAATGTCACGTGCACCTCACTCAGGTACCCATAATGACATCGTCGCCCAGTTCAACACTCTAACCTACTCGTAGACCACATTGTAGGGGAACCGGTTTTTTGGATGTATTTCTACCTTTGCACGGCGAATGAGACGCTCAATAGTTTCTGGGCTTGATGCTTTCCCAACTGAGACTGTAAGTAATTAAACCGAAGAACAATCTGTGGTATGAATATGTGGGAGGCACACCATTTCGAATACTTTGGTACAAATGTCATAGGTTCACTACGAAGGTGTTAAGTTGTTTGATGTTTCATATCGGGCTTCACGCCTGCTGTCTACATAAGTACGTAGCGCTATGTGTAATGTAACCTATGATGCACACATGCAGTTTCCAGCCGATCGTCAAAACCTAGGAGATCTGTCAAGATCCGTGGTGATCAAGTAGTACCAGTATCTGATATACCAGGAGTCCTACATTCGTGATACAGAGCGATTGAGCTTTTATAACGATTGAACATGTGCAGGTGGCGCCGGTTCACAGTTGATGACGATAGTCCGGAATCCGGGTCACGACTTGGCTATACAGTCGGTCTACCTACTCGCATACCTACTCGTAGTACGTAAGGGCTTGGTGTAAAGGTCCCGAGTTTGCCCGGGCCGGTTGCATCATTTGCCAGTCTAATTTTGTTCAACCGTTCCTTCTTTTTCTCGGACTGACATATGCAAAGAATACCTACCTCTCTGCATTTCATATACGCAATAGGTGTAATATCCATTATCAATGATTACGTGTGTACTATGATGTAAAAGCAAGCTTGTGGGTTTGTGAAGTCTGATGACCTCAACTGCTACCAACCTGATCTTTCCCTACCACCGTACCCTTCTACTTACGTGTAATATGTGCCTAACATGGTCACCCATGTGTACGAGTAGGACCCTTAACGCTGAACAAGCGATACAGGGTTTAGAGGATGCAGATCACAAGAGGACCCTTGTTCAGGCCGCGGCGTAAGAATCTCACCATAAGTAGGTATCTAACCTAGGTTGAGGTAGGTTACACGTACCTAGGGTGGTAGATGAGAGAACTTTGACCCCCGAGGGTAGCGGGCAGCGGGAATGACCCAGCCAGGAAGCCAGA